AGACCAACCCACGTGCTTTTGCCTATGCTTAAGACAATTCAATGAAGCATGAATTTTATGAATATATTAAAACAATAAACAAATATATATGCTATATTGAGATTAATGAGACAAAAAATCTTATCTTGGTGAAGCCATTCGCAGAGATGAGGCTGAGAGCATTGAGCAAGTATTCCTTCTCCCTTTCTCATTGTGTTTGCACAACTCTAGAGAGGTGAAGGCTGCTAAGAAGGTGATTTATGGCGGTGGCCAGATTTGCTGATGATGTTTCATGGTGGAGAGGTGAACGGCAAGGCTCGCCTCAGTCTGTGAATGGATGTTAAGCTCAACCTTCTTCTGCTCAAGCTTTCATTTCTCTTCTCTGCTTCGTATGCTCTGTTTCTCTCAAGTTTGAAAACCTTTTCTTTGATTTTGCATCAAATTTGCTTGGCATGAAGCCTCCAAGTTATTTGGATTTGGGGACAGTTGTGGAGTTTACTTTGGTGTCTCCGTTACCTTAGTGGCACGAATGCTCGACTTGCCTCAACCCCAGGGGTCTTTTCATAAGATTTCATTTAGCTTGAGAACATAGATCTAAGAAACAGAGAAATAGATAATGTTACCAACATTTTTTTTTTTGGTTGTTCTACAGAGCATATGGCTAAGAAAGAGAAACAAATGAGGAAACACTCTTATCTTTGGTATCTTGCATCGACTGACTTAAATCTTGTGTGGAGAAGCCGCTGTAAGAATAGTGGCCTAGTCCCCAGCAGAGTCGCCATTTATGTTGTGGTCTTTTTCGTCGGAAGGCTCATCCGGGCTTATTGATTCTTGGACAGCCATAGAGTGATGAATCAAGCTTTCAATGCCCCTTTTTCTGAGTTAGCAAGAACTAGGCCCAAAGTACCCCGAGGGAGAAGCAAGTCCCAGGGGAGTACTTTGTTCTTCTTCCAGCAACTGCGTGTTTCCGGCAGCTCGACGAAGAGTTGAAGATGACTTGCTGATGTTGATATGAGATTATATGAGCTTAGCATGAGAGCTTGGAGTGTGGGAGCTAAAGACCCACAAGTTTAGCAAATGAGAATGCATGTGCTCGGCCTGGTGTTTGATATATTTGAGTTTGGTGTTGATAATTTGTTGTGTGTGGCTATAGCTATGGGGATTTAAGAGTTCCAAGAGAATGAGGATGTAAGGAAAAGCTTGAGGTTTGAAGGCTATGGTGTTTAAAGCTTGGAAGGAAAGAAAAGCTTGAAGTTATGCTTGGTGAGGCTTTATGGAGAAGATGACGGATTTCAAGGGTGAGAAAGTAGAAGACATGGTTGTGATGGCTGAAGAATGACTGTGAAGGCTACTAGAATACTAGCAACAACTAAGAAAATGTGAGTTCTCATGGTTGCTGAGAAGCTTGCAACAACCAAGAGGGGTTGATGGCTGCTGGGATGCTTGCAGCAGCCGAGTAAGAAGTGTTGGCTGAAGAAAAATTGGTTCCCTTTGCTAAGGCATACTATTTTCCAGCATGTAAAGCTAGGTACCATAAACTGATTATTTCCTATGGGTAAAATGAAGCACTAGAAACTGCTTGTTTCCAGTGGGTAATAGGAAGTGCTGAAAAAGGCTTGTTTCCAATGGATAAAGCTAGGTATTTGGAAAATGACTAGTTCCTATGGGTAAAAAGAAGTGCTTGAAAAATATCTCATTTACTCACCCACATTGGAGAACTCTAAGTAATGGGCTTGGACTTTGGTGCTCCCAAGTAGTTAGCCCAAAGTCTCCATTATCCAAGAGCTTCCGTGGGCCTTGTGGACTTCCGTAACCTTCCACACCACAATCCATCATGCAAGCCCCGTAAACCACATGACTTGGGTTCATGTGAGCTTGATAGGTGATTGGCATGAGAAAAATGTATTATTAGTTTGGCATGGCATGTACGCTATTTCTATATTTATTTAATGAATTAAATCCCAAAATACAGCTTGGATTAACGCATGACCGACAATATATGTTATATTGGGCTTCCCGTGACTTTTTTGGGTCTCAACATCTAGGTCCAATAATCTCTCTTTGCATGAAATTGGACCATTTGTGAATTTTTAAGCCCAAAAAAAAAAAAAAAAAAATTGGAATTTGTAAAAAATAATAATTTGAAAAAGATATAATAAAAAATCTGTACCATAACCGAAAAAATCGAAAACCGCATCAGAACCGGTTTAAACCAGACTAGTCGATTTCACAAATACTATTCACCAAAATTAGACTAAACCGCACTAGTTGAATAGTACCGATTCCGGTGCGAGGTGGAAATCAGACCGGACCGCACCTGCCCCTACTCGAACTTGTGGGCTGCTGCCCCATGTTTCAATGAAGTTTCATCATTTTGACCCAAAACAAAATCTCTTATATTGTCTTTGAAACACAGAAACAACACCTTAGAATATCGTTTTCTACATCTCTCAGAATAATTAATTAATAAGTAATTTTGGTAGATGAGACTTGTTAAAGTGAACATATATGTATGTTGGGTTATTCGGAAATATTCTTTATTTTCATATCAAGGTGTGACGTGTGTCAAGCAATTTTCCAACTTGCTAAGAGCACTTCCAACAGTTTGCCCCTTGCCATGGCAAGGGGGTGTTAGGGCAGCTACTATTCAGGTGAATAGTGGCTGCCCTTGCCATATTAAGCAATGTGTGTTTCCAGCAGTTGCCATTTGCCATGGCAAATACTTTTTATTTTTTTATTTTTTTCACAACTTTTTTTACCTAAACAATTAATTTGGATAATATTTTCGGATAAGATTTTATTTTATTAGTTGTATTGGTCGATATTTATAGAGAAAAAAAATTGTATGAGGATTTGGTGTTAAAAGTGAAGAGTATTGATTGGTATTTATTAACACTGGCAGACCCATAATTTTTTTAGCGGAGGTGCAATATTTACTAAGTATGAAAAATAGTTTTTCGAAATAATCATTTTCTCAAGATAATTTTTGGCGGCTTTTATTCCTTACACATCAAATAAGAAAACTTGATTTTATGGGATTTTAGTATGAAGTATATATTGACTTTATGAGCCATCATTTTTAGCCTAAATCATATTTTGCACTAAAACCGATTTTTCATATTTTGATTTGGTGGGAATTTGATTTTCTAGTATTTTTATTTGAATCCAAATGGGGGGTACTTCCTTATTTACATTGTAAACTTAAGTAAATTGAGTAATATAAAAATAAATGAAAGCAAAAGTACAAAGACATTTACTTAGATGTTTAAAATGGAAATAAAGTATAGAGGAAAAAAAAACAGTAATTTTGTTTTTTCATTTTTTTTATTGCACAAAAATTGGATGCCGTTGGATTGCTGGAAAAAATTTGATCGGAGAGCCGAGCGTGCGCCACGTGGAAGAGGGCGCTGTAGCGGCACGCTGACATCAGTCTTGCCCTCGGGCCAACCCAGTCTGCTGGGTCCCACCATCTGCCCAGGCTTGCTTTTGTTGCTAGAAACCACTTTTTGGCCCAAACCCCACCCAGCCCGAGTCCAGCCTTAGCTGCTGGAAATGCTCTAATATATAGGCTTCCTGGTGTGTGAACTTGCACACTTGATGAAGGGATGGATGAGTCTGTTGTCAGTCCTTCTTTTGCAGGTGAGCTGGTAAACTCGAGTCCCTTGATCCTTGCGCAGACAGTGAGAATTGGCTCCAACATGGTTCTTTTCTGACAGTAGGGTTTCAACGCCCAAATTGCATTGAATGCAATTGCTTAGTTCTTAGTTTACCACCTGAAATCCTCCCCGTTGTCAAAGTTAAACAAAGTCTTTTTGGGTGAAGTGTATTTACCCGGGTAAACCTACTTAGGATGTAGGTTATTAGCTCTTGGTAAAAGAATAAATCAATTTGAGTTGAAAAATAACTTGGACCTAAAACTTGGTCCATACCCAAGTCCCATTCTTCCCTTGATCTATACATTTGGCTTTTCCAATTTTTGGTCCAAACAGTTATGTATGCAACTAAGACGAAAAAAACTTGATGTATCACATTGAAACTCATTAAACTTCATTGTAATAAAATGTAGGGGTGGTTGCGGTTCGGTAACCGCGAATTTTTACTCAAACCGCAAACCGACCGACTATTTGCGGTTTGGTGATTTTTGAAACCGCAAACCGACCGCGTTTTGCGGTTTACCGCATTGCGGTAAACCGCAAAATGCGGTCGGTTACCGCGAATTAGCGGTTTAAAACCGCGAGTTCTCAAGCATTCACAAAAATATAAATTCACAACCTAAATAAATAAATACACAACCTCAATTTCTCAAACATATATAAATTCACAATCTCATCAACTTCTCAAGCATTCACAACCTAAGAAAATTAAAGTTACAATTTCAAGCATTCCAATTAAAGTTAAACTTCTCAAGCATTCCAATTCCAAATCCTTTAAAGTTATAAACCAAAAGGAAAATGCAAAGCAAAATGAATTAAAGTTACAACAAAAAAGAAAAATCCAATTCAAAGTTAATTAAAGTTACAAACTAAAAGGAAAATGCAATGCACCAATGTTACAAACTAAAGTTATAAACTCAAGTGTTAGTGGTGAGTGGATTTGAAGAACCCCGTTGTGTTGTTTGAGCACCAATGTTATTTACAAATAAAACAACATAGTGTAGTACATTTTATTATAAGAAGAAGCATAAATAACATTAGTATAAATAAACTAATTACTTACAAGTTGTCATATGTTCTATTTCCTTGTAAAATTCAACTTCATCATCCGTGTGGCTATACTTTGCGGTTTGCGGTAACCGCAAGTTTTGAAAATCAAATACCGCAACCGCAACCGCAAATGCGGTTCGGTTCTTAATACCGCAAATGCGGTTCGGTTTACCGCGATTGCGGTTTCATTGCGGTAAATTATCGGTTGGTTTTTGCGGTTTTTCGGTTTTTCGGTTTAAAATGCCACCCCTAATAAAATGAAAACTACTCCTCACTTGGAGGACTGTAGTCTGCAGGAGAGCTATGTATGAGCGGGAATTGACCCAATTATCCAATTGTATTTCTTACCTACGAAATCACTAAATCAATTATTATTCACATAAAAATGTACAGACTAATAAATCCTTCAAAAGATTTCCTATTCTACTAAAATCTTTATCATACTAAAAATAGCAGGACGCAGGCTCTCCACTGCTGATTCTTCTTGCCTATTTAATGAGCCAAGGATTCATTGCAAGATGCCCCAGAAATGAAGGGCATCATTTTATAACATAGACTTCAACTGTGATGAGCCAGTGCAGGGTGATCGAAATGAACTTTGAGTTAGAGCCTGACGGGCAATCCATAGTTATGGAATGTCCTGATTGTTCCATCACATCCAGCAGTTACAATGACAAGCCCCCATGTATCTGGTCTAGCAAGGTGATTGTGGTGGTGCTGCTGATGATCTCTATGTTGCAGAGCCCATGGGGGAAGTTCCTCCTCAGGCCAAGTTGCAGAGCCCCTGCACGGACCATTTGAGAATAACCAACTTCCAAGGGAAAAACGTTCTGCATCTCTGCTTCCATAAGCAGGCTCTAGATGGCCTTGTCTTTGTGAGCAACATCGCCCACTAGCAGTTTCTAGGCTCTTTTGTTCAGGTCTCATGCCTGACCAAGGTACTGCAACAGACACTCCTTCACAGAAGAAATACTCACAGGATTTAACAGATCTTATTTGTTTGGAGGATGAGACACAAAAGCCATCATAGTCCCATAAATAAACATGCGAGTCCTCTCCAACTGAGATTATATGTTTCCCATTAGATGTGAAAGAAGTTGACATCTGACATCCTGACTTTGGAAGACCTGTTATATTCAGAAGGATCTAGTTATTGAATGAACGCTTTTATTAATTGCAAACAAATCCATCCAAGGTATAAGCTAAGACAAATATTAACTTATTCAAATGATTTGAGATTCATTGTATGTCATTATTATTGTCATAATGCCAGAATAAATGCTAACAATGAATTGAAAACCTGTGCATACGGATAGATGCTAACAATGTCCAAGATAATATTACAGCTGTAAAGACTGATACAAAGCAACATCATAACACCAAAAATTTATGATTAAGTATTTCAGATACAATGAATGAGTAAGATGCGTCTGAGCATATGTTGCAGAGAATGGGCAATCATCCACACAAAATCAAGATATCATAATACTCAAACTACGCCATAACGAGCAAACAAGGTGGTTGGTACCTACATGCTTATGAAGTCCACAAAATTAGTAGCAGTGTGAACTATGAATGTTTGAGGTCAATCTAAGTAATTACTCAAGAAACTACAAACTTATCTAGTTGTAGCACAGATGTGACTTTACTGATTCCAGATGTTAGAGGACAAAAACAATGGAGGACGATATGATTTTGTTTGAAAAGCATAATTAGCATTTGGTTTGAACATTTAATCACAGAGGCTATCATCAATACAACACAAACATCTGACTACTGACCCTATCACCTAGTCAACATCATGCCATTTAAATTGAGGGTTATCAATTGCATGTTAATCAATTTGATTGGAAGAATACAACAATCAACAGTAATAGTCTCTCATGGTCATAAGGTTCTTTACCTTTGTATTTCTTTATAAGTTCTACTCCCTCAAATATACGGATTTTCGAGTCTTCTGATGTTATCATAACTCTTTGCAACTTTTCCTGGGAAAACTGGGAGAAAATGACTCTTAATGTTAATGAATGATTTAGAAACATAGCATCTTATGGAAGCTTAGCAGAAAAGAAAAAGAGAGAGAGAGAGAGAGAGAGAGAGAGGAAGAAATGAAGTAGAAAAGTTTTCAAGTGCAATACCTGGATGCCAGTGATTTGGTTGCCAGAGGTTTTAGTTCTACCATGAACATGCATTTGCACAGCCAGTTGAAGATATTCCCCTGTCCATCCACAAAATCAGTTTAGGAACTCCACAAGTGAGAAAGATGTAACACTTCAAATTCAACAATAAGATAACATCCAACATTTATGTACCTGATACTTCATAGAAGTGGCAAGTGCCTGTGACGGAACCAACTACAAACCCCTGCTTGTACAGAAGAAATTGATATGGTTAACATCATGAAGGAGATTTTCGTAGCAGTGTAATAAAATCATGGCTAATCAAGTACTAAGAGTCATACTTTCCCATCTGGTTGATAGCATATAGCAGTTATAACATCTCGCACATCAGCCCAATCAACAACTCGCTTCTCAAAAAGGCCCCAAACTCGAACTTTTCCATCAATTGATCCACTTATGAAGTAATTGTCATTGAGAGGGTTGAACTGAATGCATGTCACTGGTACCATTTAAAAAGTTACAGAATTAAATTTCAGAATATTACATCACATTAAAATTTGAGGGAGTACTAACATATATGTATGTATGTTCCGATTTGAATCTTTACCGTAATCATTGTGATGGAAAACATTTAGGCACTGACTGCAACCAACTTCCCACAGACGAACAGTTTTATCCATTGAAGAAGAAAGAAGACACTGCAATGGAGCATATATATTGAATCAATCACAAACTGAACGAAGGAGTTGTAAATATGATCAAATACGAGTCAACTAAATAAGTAATGTTTCAGCACTCACATTTGAATTTGACCAAGCAAGATCTAACACATCACTCGAATGGCCATGGAACTCTTGCAGCGGTGACTCTTCAATTCGAAAACCCTTATCAGGAAAGATCACTCGATAACCAGACTTGATCTTTTTAGTTTTGCTATCAAAGTTGCCTTCAGCTGGTAAGTAATTACAAGAGGCATCTGTTAATGTAACACACCAAAGGCGTACAACCCCATCGTCACCACCAGTTGCAAGATATTGGCCATCAGGACTAAACTTCATAGCCCCTATAAACCCCTTGTGCGCATGAATTTCTTGCCCGTTGCATAATGCAGCGAACTCCATACACCTCTTACTGTTCTGCTGGACCTTCATCCTATTTTGTTTGAGTATTTCAGTATCTGGTTTTGATCCCTCAAATACAACTTTCCCTCCTCTTCTCTTTGCCTTGTTTATAAACTGTTTCCACCAACTTTCCTTCTTCTTTCTACCCTCATGTGAATTCCCACATTCTTCTACTGGAGCCTCAACTTCTCTCTGGGAAGAATCTGTAGCAGAAGGTGAAATAATACGAACAGCCTCCTGGATGGAGACTAAATTCAACTTATCTTGTAGGTTTCTATCTAATTCATTCTGCATAAGATTTGCTTGATTGTCCCCTTCCCTGCTACAACAACCCAAATTTTCTTCAATATAACTAGAAGAAGAGATGCAAGAGCTTGAGGCAGCTCTACTGCATTCCAAAAGTCTTTGCAATCCCATCATCTTTGATGAGGCACCAGATTCCATTTCCATCTCCACAGAACCACACTTTGCAGAATCAAACTCAGCTAAACCCATCTTTCGTAGAAAACTCTCCCGTCTTTCCTTAACACTTGGTGGCTCATTCATCCAAATTTCATACTCCAACTTACTACACCCCGGTTCCTCTTTTGCTACAATTGACTCTTGAGATGACAAGTCCACCGAGTCGAAGAACACATCATTTTCACCATCATCAGAGCTCAGCATGTCTCTCACTTAAGACCAATATTCCACATAAAAAAAACACTATATTCTAACACTCCCTCCAGCTGCAGGCAAATCAAACAAACTACTTAGAACTTTAAAACCCACCAAAGCCCTCAATTCACGGACCGAGTTTTTCTCCTTAACTATGCAAACACAATGAGGCATCCACAGCAAGTAATTCAACTGAATATTAAATAAACAAGCATGGATAAGTACGAGGAACCAACTACCAACTCTAAAATAAGAACCACCCTAGCCAACAGATTTTTGGCATGTTCTAAAACACCAATAATATATAAATACATATATACAATTACCCAAATACTAAAAGCAATAGAATATTTAAAAAAATGAAAATGTCATACAAAAAATCCGGAAATGGCACAAATATTCAAATGCACAAAAGAGACCAAAGCTGAATTCAAGGTTCGAAGACTATACCTCGGTTTGAATGCAAAGCAAGAGTGATATTGTTGAATATAGCCGACCCTCCTGTGATTGTGGTGGGCAATGCAATATATTTGAAAAGGCCAGCTTTCACACCTTCAAGCGCATACAAAACAAACCCAAAATCTCCTCTCTCAAGTGCTTTGTATTGAACCCAATAGCCAAATGCTATGAGGGGTTGGTTTACCAGAGAAAATGGCGGAGGAAGGAAAGGCCGCAAACACTTGTCAGTTTTGGAGGCCAAGTCCAAAGGCTGGCCTCGAGATCTCAACTCTCAAGTCAAGTGAAGGGTTTCAAGGCGCAGGAGGAGCAAAGCAATAAACACGAGCGGCGTGGCCCGGGAAACAATAACCTCTGCTTGTGCTTGTGCTGCAGGCACTCTACTTTTTGGTTTGTTCTTTTAGGCTAAAAACTACCCAACAATCTCTGCAAAAGTACCAGCAAATGTAAACTGTAAAATCTTATGGAGATTAAGAGAGGGAGGCAAGGCAATTAAGAATGTTTTTTATATTTATTTTTTTTGTGTAAATTTTTGTAGTTTAGGAAGCCAGGTTAATCTGAAAACTTAACTGTAAATTATAGATTAATGGAGAATTAATGCAGAGCATTCAGTATGAAACCCATATGATGAAATTAGTCAATCTAAACTACCCAATTAACTGTAAATTCAAAACCCAATTGAGAAAGAAGAAAAAAGATGTCAAATTTGAGTGCATGTAATACAATTAGTGACCCTATAAAGTTATAAGTGTAAGAAGTCAAACAATATAAAATATAAACAGTACAATTGGGATTGGGTTGTCTAATGTTTGTAAATTCTGCTTTATATTTTGGGACTTGCCAAAAGCATTAACTTAATGCCACAATTAAATTACAAACAGCATTACACAAAGCCTTAATAAAATAATAAGACAAAAAGAAGAATACAAACCAAAGCATACATGTTGTGTGATGAGAAGGATAAATACTTTTCCCTAGAGGCTAGAATTGTTTGATTGTCGTGTTTTTTCTATCTCTTTTTTCAACAATTGTCGTGTTCTTTCTATCTCTCTTCTTCTTTGATAAGTGACACGGGAAGAAAAATAGGAAAAATGGTTCGTTACACTTTTTTCTTATCTCACCTTCTTTGATATGTTACACGAAAAAGGAGATAAAAATAATGGAGCAATGAAATCGAGATAGGGAAGTTTTCCTCCATGAGAAGGGCTCACATGCAACCACAACTAGTGCTAGTAGCCACACTCTATAGGAAAAGACAACTGCTGGTGGCTAAAAGTACAAGATGGCTCAATAGCTCCTCAGCTCAGCTAGTGCCCTCCATAGTAAGTACCTAGAGAAAGAAAGCGATTACTCATAACAACAACAAAACTGAGAGCCTATTACTGACAGGTGTCTACTACCTACCTCACCTTAGGTCTCCACATTACAACAATAACAACAACAACAAACAAACAAACAACTCTATCTGTTTCTCTGAGACCAATTTCTCTCTATTTATAGTTGCCATATGTATGTAGACCTACCGAAGGAATGTTGCACGAAAGTGGAACTAATGGTGATGGCGTGTCTGAATTAGGTTTAACTAGGAGATTTGTTTGTATAGGTTCTTGTGTAATTAGGATTAATTTAAACCTTTACTATTTTCTTTTTCAAAAAGAAACTAAGTTAACACTTCCACAAGCCATATTGGTGCCTCAAATTCCCATAAGAATACACCCTCAATTGACCTTTATTGGTTTTTTATTTTTTTGACAAACAACATGGAGATTGTATTCATTAATCACGCGGCACGTCACAAAGGCAATACAAATACAATAGTTACGAGAGTCAAAACAACTACTCACAAAAAATTACAAACTAATACAGAAAAATTTAACAACAATGTCAAACTCACACGGAGTTGACCTTTATTGTTGAGTAAACATATATTTACCTCCTTAAAGAAATTAATGCATACTAAAATATTTCCCAAATACCAATATTTTGACAAAACTATGACAAATGTTTCTTTGTTGTCTAGTGCTTCTATTAAGGCTTTTTTTTTTTTTTCTTCTTGTTTTGGTTTTTCTAAGTTTTGTTTGTAAATAGCTTTTGACCTCTTTGGTTAACATATTATTTATCGACGAAAAAAAAAACTATGACAGGTGGACAAATTTATACTATACACGTCCACAATGTCCATTTGTCTTACTCTAACACTACATTAAATATTAACTGTACCATCTTAAGCTTAGTGCCAGGAAACTTGGAGAGCAATTTGAATTCCTAATTCCTATGCTCTTTTATGTATATTCCACTCTTCTAGTTGCTACTCTTAAGTTCTAGGAGTCAAAGAAGCAAATACACTTATTGAAAACGAAGAAAATACAACTTGCAAGAGGAGTTGATCTTGATGTACCAATTTATTTTTCCGTTTTTCTTTTTTTTTTAAATGAGATCGTTAAAAATGTTAGAGAGAACATATTATGTAACACATGGTATGCCACTTCATAATAAGAATGACACCGATTGTATAGGTGAGTTTCGTCTCGATTAGATGTATGTAGTACATAATTGTGATATCCCTAACTTTACTCAATAATTGCAAGTGCGTTTATAATAGACTTTGCAATTGCTTGTACCAACTACGATCAATTTACATATAAGGTTAATTTTTCTCAAAAGTTGTATATTTTCTTCTTCTTTCACTTTGTTCTTCTCAGCATACATAAGATAAACAGAGAGATTAATACAATTTAATTCTTCTCATCATTGTTGTTTTAATGTAGTTATATGATGCAAAGAATTCTCATAAAATCAGCCTGCAGACAGTATCCCATGACAACACAATTTGCAGACAAACATGAAAATTAATTATCGATATCGTAAACTTGCAGATGCATATGAAATGAGGAAATTCAAATGAAGAATTAAGGTTGAAATTTAACTGACCTCATCAAACCATCGATAGCACTTCTATACCTGTTCTTCAGTCGACAAACTATGGCTGAAATGTATATATCTCTGTAAACTGAGCTATATATATATATATATATCACAATATATATATATATATAGAACCAACAAAATCAACACCATTATTATGCTTCATAAATATATTTATATACGCATGAGAGAGAGAGAGAGAGAAGACTAGTATTGAAGCAAAGCCGTGTGTGCATGGTTGGTGTTTGGCAATCAAGTTGTAGCCTTAATTAATTGAACATGATTTTTGTTTTTTTTAAAAGAATTGAATATGTTTATTTTATAAACTTTTTGAGGCACCTAAGATTTGGTCCCTAGTTGCTAGCGCGGCATATCTCCGCTCTATCTTCCCTCGATTTCCTCTCATTTAAAGCCAAAAGGCGCACTCCCATTTTAATACTCACATTTGCATGCTTAACTCTTTTTCACTGAAAATACATTTAGATGCAACGGTAATAACACTGTTTATTATTCTTGACCAATACACAATGATATGTGGAAAAGTTATTTTACGTATCATTGCGTTATTGGTCGGAGATAACAAAAAGTGATATTTCCATTACATGAGAATTTCTCTCTTCCACAACAATATTCATCACTTTACTAAAATTATTACACATTTTCAATTCAATCCTTAACTGAAATTATTACACATTTTCAATTCAATCCTTAATTTTCGGTCATTTCTAATAGATTATGGCATGCTCCCCTAAAATTTTATCTAGATTTTTCATTGAATGGATTTCTTCCTTCCACGTGCATGAAAATTCATTATCGTACTTATCTAATTGCTTGTTTGTACAGTATTTCAATATGAATATTAATAGTTACTCAATAGATAAAAATCATTACATAATTACACTTTGTGTTTTTGGCCTCCCAAATATATTGAATCATGGATCCGCCCTTGATTTCAACCAATATGACCCCATGCCTAGTCACAAAAAGAGTCACTACATGTGCAGCTCTATTCTTATTTAGGGGGGATACTCATCGTATTGTGCAATCGTTCATGGGCGGAACCACACTAAAGGCTACAGTGGGCTGTAGCCTAGTGTGATTTTTTTAAGAAAAAAAATATAAAATCTATATATTTAACTTATTTTCAATATTAGCCCAGTTAGTGGCACAGTACATATTTCCTTATTTCCATTTTCAACATTTAAGTAAATGTCTTTGTCATTTTACTTTTATTTATTTTTATATTATTCCATTTACTTAAGTTTACAATGTAAATAAGGAAGTACCCCCCATTTGGATTAAAATAAAAATACTAGAAAATCAAATTCCCACAAAGTCAAAATATGAAAAATCGGTTTTAGTGCAAAATACAATTTAAGCTAAAAATGATAGCTCATTAAGTCAATATATATTTCATACTAAAATCCCATAAAATCAAGTTTTCTTATTTGATGTGTGAGGAATAAAAGCCGCCAAAATTATCCTGAGAAAATGATTATTCCGAAAATCCATTTTTCATACTTAGTCAATATTTTTACATAAAACAACTTTTCATCTATAATATGAATGCATGAAAGAACCTAAGATCAATCTAGGTAAAAAAATCTTAGATGTTCAATCCACTATGGTGTTAAACCCTATTTAGTTTATGTTAAAACTTATTGAAAATTAGTCTATGGATTATTTCTAGAAAGACTATAGAAATTTGAAGTACCAAAAAAAATAATAATTAAATTTTAAGCTAATAACTTTAGCTAGCCCACCCATTGAAAAATTCCTGGTTCCGTCCTCGCAACCGTTCTTATTAAGAGAGGCGATAGTTTACTAAACTCATACACACTACGCAGGTACTATGACTCAACTCTAAGACCTTCTCCAGAAAGAGCATTTGCTTTAAACCACTACACTACTAGTGGGTCGTTTGCTACTTGATTTTGAGAATGACATGATACTATCTCAGATGTATTGATTGAGACTTATTTTTTATTAAATAATCAATAATGTATCATTTCGTTTAAAAAAATGGAAAAGCCCAAAAACATCTGGACGTGGAGAGGGACACGAAGGCAAAGCTATATGCTAATGTTTATTCTTATGTAAATATTAAGCATGCACCTTGCTTTACAAATCTAGGACTTCGTATGATTTTTATACAGAAAAACACAGATGTAGACCTCAACCACACATGCACATGCGCCCTTATTTTCATAAGGACTCACCTTTTCATATTCATATCTTTAAAATTGTATTGCTCCACTGGCATTCAGCCTCTTGGTGGTGGAGATTTCCCTGCTCCATTTATAACTTATCTATGATCCAATTCTAATTAGTTTATAATTAGAGAGATATGATCCTCGAGATCATAAAGATCGACCC